TTTCACTCCTACATTAAACATAAAATACTGCAGGTGCTGGAAATCTGAAACAAAAACAGAAGTCGCTGGGAACACTCAACGTGAGTCAACGTTTCGGGTGTTGGGAAGCCTCTCCCTACCAACGTGCCCCAGTTCCGATGAAGAGTCGTGGACCCGAAACGTTGACTCACTTTCATTTCTCCATAGATGCTGCCTGACCTGCTGAGTGTTCACAGCAACGTCTGTTTTTCTTTAAGATTATGTCCCCTTGTTCTGAATTCACCTACTAGAGGAAACAAGTTTCTCTGTATCTACTCTATCGAATCCCTTTATTATTTTAAAAACCTCAATCAGGTTACCCCTCAACCTTTTAAACTCAAGTGAATAGAGACCAACTTTACGCAATCTGTCCTCGTAATTTAACCCTTTAAGTCCTGGAATTATTCCGGTGAATCTGCGCTGAACCCCCTCCAGAGCCATTATATCCTTCCTGAGGTGTGATGCCCAAAACTGAACACAGTGTGAGCTTGCTTTTAGCGATTTGTGTACGTGGACATCCAAATAACCTTTGCTCTTCTACAGTTCTTAGTTTCTCACCATTTAGAACATGTTTTGCTATTTTTGGTTCCATAGTGGATGACCTCACACTTTGCTACACTTTGATTGAATTCCACCTGTCACCATTTTGCCCACTCAACAACAGAAAAATTAAATTTGTAAAGCGTCTTTCACGTCGGCAGGATGTCCCAAGGCGCTGAACAGTCACACTCACTTAATCTATCCAAGTCTCTTTGAATCGTCCTGCTCCCATCTACACAATTTACTGTGACTCCTAACTTTGTGTCATCTGTAGATTTGGATATAAAATTCTTTATTCCTTCATCCAAGTCATTTATATATATGGTGCAAAACTAAAGCCCCGGTACAGACCCCTGGGGAACACCACTTGCCACTTCTTGCCAATCAGAGAATGTTCCTTTTATCCCTGCTCTCTGTTTCCTGCCTCCCAACCAATTACCAAGCCACATTACGAGGTTACCTCCGATTCCATGCGCTTTCATTACATAAAGGCAGTGGGACAAGAGCACTCTCTTGTGAACCTACTTGTCCTTCACAACTTGTGACTGCTTTATCATAATAAACAGGGGCAGGGGAATGGTTATAGAGTGTGGGACAGAGCAGGGGAATGATCATAGAGTGTGGAACAGAGTAGGGGAATGGTACTGTATTAGCATGTATTGTTTGTCAGCATTGCTCATATGGTAGCACTCTCACCTTTGAGTCAGATGGTTGTGGGTTCAAGACCCACTCGAGACTTCAAGCTCATAGTTTAGGCTGACACTCCAGTGCAATGGTGCGGGGGCGGGGGTGAGTTTCTCCCACTCCGACTAGCTCTTAAATAAAATTGGTCATTCACTCCATGGCTCTTTGGAGGACGTTGTTGTGCATAAATTAGCTGCTGTGTTCGCCTACAAAATACAGTCACTGCATTTCTAAAATCCTGTGAAGCGCTTTGAGATGTTTTGACGTGACAAGGCACTGTATCGAATGCAAGGATTATTATGATTATATAACACATGCGCCGATCAACTGACCAGCACCACGTACACCCGATACCTACAACTACCCACTTTGAGAAATTTTGTAAGGGATTTGCCTTAATTACAAACTATGGAATGACATGCCTTGTGCATTGGGAATCTAGCTAGGAGTGACGTTGTGAGCCTTGGTGAATATCTGCATCTGAGTAATGCTCTGCTTCTAATATTTCACAGCGAGAGGGCTTTAATTAGGGATACGCATTATTCAAATTCACAGTTGTGTCTAGATCTGAAGGCAAGCATTTCCAAAGGTGAGGAAACAAACTGCACAAGCCATTTCAATTAAATTAGGAAGCGACGCACTGATGAAGACACTATATTTATCATGTGTCAGCCTGGCTCAGTTGGAAGCACTCATTGCTCTGAGTCAGAAGGTTGTGGCTTGAAACCCCATGTTGAAACATCAAGCTCACAGTCTATGTTGACCCTCTCATGCTTTGCTGGGCGTACGCTGCATTGCTGAAGGCATTGTCCTCTAGTGAAAGTTATTAGGAGAAATTAAGAGAAAGGGAAGGAAGTTTATTTCCCCCGTCTTTCACATTTAAATAAGTCAGTCTAATTATCTAACTAATACTTACATTTGATATTGAGCTCTTCTCATTGGGAGGACTTGTCAAATTACTTCACAGGTAAAGTGTAATGACTGTGTATTTTGTAGTCAAATGCAGAAGCCAATGTCCCACAAACAGTCCTTAAGTGAATGACCAATTTTATCTGGGAGATTGTTGTTGGCCAGGACACCAGGAGAAACAGCCTATCTGCTTTGAAGATGAGACTTTAAACCAAGGTCCCATCTGTGCCTGTTCAATTGGATGTTAAAGATCCTGTGACAGGATCCTCGAAAAGACAAGGGAATTTCTCTTGGTGTCCTGGCCAAGGTCATTCACTTCATAACTGTTTTGGGGACATTACTATGTGAAAATTGGTTGCCATATTTGCCTACCAAACAGTACTTGAAATGAGAAGGGAATTTCTTGTGGTGTCCTAGCCAAGAGTTACTCCTGGGTTCTAGCCAGGCCTGCTTCCATGTTGTAAAATCAACGTAAAGCTAGCCACTTCCAACCACTCAGTACACCTCCAGCACTGAATTAGAGCATTAGCCTAGCTGATGAGCTCCAAGTCCCAACTTGTGGCTTGAACCCACAACCTTCTGACTCAGAGCCAAGAGTGCTACTGACTGAGCCAGGCTGACACACACTAACTGCAGCGTCTACATTGATGTACCCAGAATGGAGTGATACCTGCAAACAAGCACCTGGGGGCAGCAACTTAGAAACATTTTTAAAACAACCAGCTCCAAAGTCAATGATTCTTCCAAACCCACACTTTGTCCAAAAGAAAACAAATTAATAATAATAATAATAATAATCCTTGCATTTGATATAGCGCTTTTCACGTCAGGAGGACAATTTGCTATTAAACGGCAGTTAATAGCAAATAGTATGGATACATTTAAGATAAAACTCGATATGCTTATGAGGGAGAAGGGAATACAAGGGTATGAGAGGGAGTAAGGAATCAGTGGAGACTCATGAGGACTGAACGGTCTGTTTCCAGGTTGTACAGTCTATCTAAATCTATGTAACTTCTTGAAAAAGCACACAAAGAATGCAGAGAAAAGACATTTTTCTATTTGGACTGTACACACAGCAACTTACACTTATACACCTATGCCTTTCAGGTTGAGAGGAGAACTCAAAGACCTTCACAGACCTGATTGGGTGTCGAAGCTGGGGGGAGCTCAGAAGGAGGAGGGCAAAAGTGTAATCTAAAAGATAGGTCTTAAGCCAGTTTTTGAAGGAAGGAAGGGGTAAGATGGAAGGACTACTGGATTCAGTTACAGAGATCGGAATGGATGTATATAGAATTCTTTGGGAATGGTGGAGGGATAGTTGTGGGGTATTAAGGTGAATATCTCTCCCTTCGGCTAGCTCCCCGGGGTGAATCAGGCAGGGCTGAAGCCAAAATGCCCAGGTGGAGCAATTATACAATGTTCATTTAAACAGCCCCTTTCACATCTGGAGGATGGCCCAAAGTGCCTTACACAGCTGGCTAGGCATCCGAGATAGGGGGAGGGTGACAAAACCAAAGTGAGGGGGGAAAGATGGCCGAAAGTTCGGTCAGTGAAGGTTAGTCTTGAGGTGGGATTTGAAAGTGGGGAGGCGAGGGGGCGAATCGGAGGGACTTTGGAACAAAAGATACTGCTTATTTTTAATAAAAGTACTGCACCGCTTTCACATTGCGAAGGTCACCTTGCTTAGTTAATAATAATCCCTCCAAAAACCAGAAACAATAATAAATTGGTCATTCTCAATCTACGACTGTTTGTGGGACATTGCTGTGCGCAATTGGCTGCCACGTTCGCCCACAAATATACAGTCAATTCACTTTACAGTGTGTTCTGTGAAGCGCTTTGGGACGTCCTCCCGATGTGAAAAGCCCTTTTTTCAAATGCAAGGATTATTATTATTATTATTAGTTACGGCAGTTTGCTGCATCTCCTCCTTCCAGAACAGAAGCTGGAAGCAACCAAGCAGCTTTCTGTGAAGAGACCAGCACCCTGTGCCTTGCCCCACCGTCAGCTCCATTCAGCTGGGAGTGGATTGTGAGCAGCTTCACATCAATTACCGCACACAGCTTCTGATTGAAGATAAGCCAGATTTCAAATGATCACAAATTCAATCAGTGCAACGCGTTAGTACATTTTTTTTCTAAAAAGACAAAAAATTAAAGTAAGATATGCAAAAAGTGCAAAATACACAGTCCTAATAATGAAATTCTTGAATTCGATACAGTCTTATCACATCGTCAAAACATCTCAAAGCACTTCATGGGATTTACTGCAATGTGAAGTGACTGTGTATTTATAGGCAAATACTTAACGAATGCAGAATGACAGTGATAATGCTTTAGTGGATGAACGAACATAATGCCATAAAAATAATAATCCCTGCATTTGATATAACACCTTATCATGTCTTTGAGATGTCTCAAAGCGCTTCACAGTATATTGTGTAAAGTGTAATATGTACCTATAAATACACAGCCACAGCACTATAAAGTAAATCTTATGATGCACTTTAAGACATTTTGATGGCGTGAAAGTTGCTGTATCAAATAAAAAAGAATTATTTTTATAGCATTATTATACTCCTCCCAAAGTGAAAGGTATTACAGATATATGAAAATTCAAGAAGTATGCCCAAATTATATTATACATGTCAGTTGGCGGGCTCACCCTCTGAGTCAGAAAGTTTTGAACTCACAAGTCTATGCTGATACTCCAGTGCAATACTGTGGGCGTCCATCAGTTGAGCTCTTTAAACAAGGTCTTGTCTGCCTGTTCAGGTGGATGTTAAAGATCCATGGCACTATTGGAAAAAAAAGGAATTTTTCCCAGTGTCCTGGCCAGCAATTCTCCAAATAAAATTCATCAGTCACTTCATGTCTGTTCGTGGGACATTGCTGTGTGCAAACTGGCTGCCACATATGTATGTAAGATACACAGTCACTCCACTTCACAGTAAAATTCCTGTGAAGCACTTTGAGATGTCCTTCGGATGTTCAAAACCATCTCAGACTTGGATCTCATAATGTCTAAGCTGACACTTCAATGCAGTGTTGGGAGTGTACTTCATTGGCACTTCACAGTAAATCACTGTGAAGAACTTTGAGGTGTCCTTATGACCTGAAATGATTACTAGTATTATTAAAATAAACCATTTCCAACTTTAAGATGAAATAAATACCACTCAATTTGGAGGTAATGAGAATAATCACCTTATTCCTGTAGTTGTAACAAGCTGCTGTTGTTTCATGCCCATTCGCAAAGTGACTCAATCTTGTAGGCAGCTAACATCTCTGCAAGATGCCACCTTACAGCTGAGTGATTGCAAACCACCGCGCTCCATTAAACTTCCTGAAACTCAACGTTCTTCACAGTCTCTGAGCCTTGCAGTCAGAGGGGACAGGGATTAGGAGACTGTCTGCTGGCACCAAAATATGATGGCATGTCATGATAGTCCAAAGGAGAATGGAGCAGAAATCATCTGCAACATGGGTGTCAGCCAGGCTCAGCATTCTCGCCTCTGAGTCAGAAAGTTGTGGGTTCAAGCCCCAACCTCAAAATCCAGCTAATCCAAAACTCCACTGCCCGTTCCAAACTCATTGGCCACTACCCCAGTCCTCGCCAGGCTCCACTGTCTCCCTTAGGTATAAATCCCTTCATGCCTTAGCATCTATGTATCTCTCTGATCTTCTGTTTCCCACTCCTCTGCTCATTCCTCTGCTCAGACTTGCTGCATGTCCCCTTTTCCCTCTTTGCTACCATCGATGTCCAAGCCTTCGGTCTCCAAGCACTAACCTCTGGGACTCCCTATTTGTAACTGTCCCCTTGCTCCATCTCTCTATTTATCTTTCAATTCAAGCTTAAAACCTACCTCTTCGACCTTGCCTGTAGTCACCCCCTTTTCCTCTGTCCCTTACTCAGTGTCTGACCCGACAATGTGAAATGGTCTGCAATGTTATCCTATGTGAAGGGCGCTGGAGGGAGTCATGATTCAACAAATCTAAGGGAAAAATACCCATAGATTTTAAAGTTATGTTCATGCTGTTATTTCTCATACAACTAAGAAAACAGGGACTCTTTTGAGGGCAGCAAGTGCAACTTGCAAACGTGACTGAGTCAATATCACTTCGCGAAACTTTTTCTCCTTGTTTAATATTTAAAATATATATATTTTCATCACAAGGAACACATTAACTTGTCTGAAATCTTGCCAGGTCACGCTCCAAGGGCTAGAATTCCTCTTATACTTAAACCCATTGTTTTAAGATTCAGGTTTGTGCAGAATTTTGGAAAATATTTTAACTCTGTGCTGTTTTCAAACTTACATTTCAACCTTCTGTTTTGACAGGCAATTTAGCTTGTTTAATTTATTGAAAGTGTATTCCTTGATTGTTTTAAAGGTCACTGGGGCAGGGATTCTTCTCACTCAGCTACTGTTAATCCTAAAAACCAAAGCCCTAACAATTGGGTGGTCCTCACTGGACAAGCAACAGGAAGCTTGTCAAACAGTTCTCTTAATGGCAAGCATTGCAGTTTTAGCTGGTTAAACTCCAGCATTTACCCCAACACCCAGTCTAATGTCCCAAGCCTTGGCTCTCACCAACCTGAGCCAAAAACGCTCAGTAAGCAGAGTGCGTCCCTCCAGGGAGAGAGTCCTCATTCCATTCCAAGCTGCCATCTACATTAAATTCAGTCTGGTTTGGATGATCTTAAGAACAGTGATGGGTTTTAGCATCTATCAGACACTGGACTGACAACAAAAACAAAAATATGAGATAAAATTTGCTCCAGTATTGAACTGCTGTGATATTAATAAACTTGCTATGTATTCCTAACTCTACCCCAATGATAACCGTTTCAAGGCAGATTTGTACCGTCCACAAAGGAATAATAATAATAATAATAATCCTTACATTTGATATAGCGCTTTTCACGTCGGGAGGACGTCCCAAAGCGCTTCACAGAACACACTGTAAAGTGAATTGACTGTATATTTGTGGGCGAACGCGGCAGCTAATTGCGCACAGCAATGTCCCACAAACAGTCGTAGATTGAAAATGACCAATTTATTATTGTTTTTGGTTTTTGGAGGGATTATTATTAGGCGTGTGGAGTAAGGAAACTTGCCCAATGTTTCGCCCTGCCTGGAATTGAACTCCGGTCTCTCGCTTGCAAAGCGAGTGCTCTAACCACTGAGCTACAGGACTCCACCTGGCAACAGAACACATCTCACTTTCGTGACAAAGAGAGGGGCAGCAAGCAGGGTGGATATAAACTGAGGGAATACGTGGGAAAACAAGACAATACATTCAGGGGAATTTCCAATGTCCTGTAAACATCAAATTTTGCAAGTTCTCAGCTATGTCAGCAAGCTGGTTTCCGCTATACAGATTAATTAAACCAAGTTGGAGAAAATATGAAATAGAGGAGACAGCAAAGGTCAAGATTGGTGTGGCTGAAGAAGGCCCATCTGATCTCATCCCTCCAACACCCACTCAACTGTTCCCCCCCACCCCCATCTCTACCCCTCTCCTTACCTCCCAGCTCCCACCGCCTTGCCCCCCTACTCACGGACATCATAAACCCCTCAATGTCCACTGACACCATTCTCACCCCTCTAAAAATGTCCATCATCACTCCTATCCTTAAAAAAGCCTCCCTGGACCCATCCCTGCTCTCAAATTATCGCCCAATTAACAACCTCCCTGTCCCTTCCAAGGTTCTGGAGTGAGTCTTGCTTCGCTCCTTCCTCTCCCACCATTCCCTTCATGAACCCCTCCACATCACATCACAGAAACAGCTTTGGTCACAGTGAGAAATTACATTTTGGCCATCTGTGACTAGGACTCCCTCTGCCTCCTCGTCCTCCTTGACCTCTCTGCCGCCTTTGATACCGTTGACCACTCTATCCTCATCTACTGTCTCTCCTCTCACCTCAACCTTCACGGTTCTGTCCATGAATGGTTCAGATTGTATTTCTTACACCGTCTCCACTTCATCTCCACAAGCGGCTTCTCCTCTAGCCACTGTACCATCTCCTGCTGAGTTCCTCAGGGCTCTATTCTTGGTCCCCTCCTTTTCAATATCTATATGCTCCCTCTTGGTGGCATCATCCGCAGACATGGGATCAACTTCCCATGATTCTATCTCTCTGCCCCCACCCTTGACTCCAGGACCACTGCTGTTCTGACAGAATGTCTATCAGACATCAAGTCCTGGATGAGAGCTGACTTTTTACATTTGAACGTCCGAGGCTCTCCTGATTGGCTCCTGTCAGTGCCTCCACACCTCAGGCTCTGACAGCATCAACATCCAGGGTTGCACACTACACCTTACTAAGCCAGTCCAGAACCTTGGCATCTTGTTTGACCCGCAACTATCCTTTCTACCCCACATCCATGCCATGCCCCGTTCTGCCTTTCCCCCACCTCCACAATATCATCCAGCTCCGCTACTGTCTCACATCGCAGGCCACAGAGACCCACATACACGCATTCATAACATCCAGGCTCAACTAGAAAACTCCCGGCTTATTGGGCTCCCCAACTCCTCCCTCCATAGGCTGCAGATCATCCAGAACTCTTCCGCATCAGGCTTCCCATCATAGGGAGGATACAGTTGAAGATCCTGGTCCTCACCTTCAAAGCCCTCCATGGCCTTGCTCTCCCTTACCTCAGTGGCCTTCTAACCCCTTACCAATCTGCCTGCTCCCTCCGCTCAGTGGGCTCTGGCCTCTGGAACTCAACTTCAAGACTGTCTCAAGACCTCCTGCTCTCCACCCTCCCCAATTCCGACCCCCAGCTCGGGTCTGAAACACTGATGGTCCTGCGCCTTGGGACATCCTCCCGATGTGAAAGGCACTATACAAATATAATTTTGTTGTTGTTGTTGCATCAAGCAGTGTCCTCTTCTTCTATTGTTTTGGTGCATCCACGAGAATTGATCTGGGTTTACTTTTTCAATCCCATAAAAAAGTTTATACACCTCTACAAGGTTCTTCTCTCTTGATGAAAATAGACCAGTTAAAAACCAAGTTATTGGAGTCGGGAATCTGTTTGTGTTAAATCAGTCATTTGAAAAAAAACAAATAAGGGAGATTGTATCTAGCATACTAACAAAAATCTGGGCTGGATTTACAATAAATTACAGGCATACAATAATGTAGCACTTCCACATTGGGGAATGTCCCAAAGTGCTCGCCATTGGTGCCTGAGCCCATGAGCTAGGGGTGGGAGCCCACCTGCCGATTATGGGGCGAACACGGCGGGGGAACCCGAAGCTGGTCTCGTTGAGCAAAGGCAGCAGCCAGGTTGATAGGGTTGAAGGAAGTCATAGAGTTGGGGTGATGCCATGGAGGGATTTAAAGGGATTTACAAGTTTGAGACAGTAGATCTCACTCATCTATCGGCTCTTCAAACCTGACTGGTTTTACAAGGCCTTTCTCGTTTAAATATTAACTTTGTCTTAAGTGAAAATTTAGAAAACGAGTTTAGTACCTGATGAACAGAGAGTCTATCAAGAGATACCCTTAAGCAAGTAAGTCTGAGTCAGTCAGCACTGAGAACAGAAGTCATCCAACAGTAGACCAGAAATGAAAGTATTCCACTTGCAGCAAAAGGTAAGCTCGTTGTCCTGAGAAGATAAATTTATCTGGCATCTTAGATAATGCAACACTCGCCAAGTACTGCACAGGAGTGTCAGCCAGTACCATGAGCTCAAGTCCTTGAAAGTTTAAAGCTGTCAGGAAGACATCCAAATTCCTACAAAGTCAGAGCCTGTGTGTTTTTGTGGGCAAATACTGCAGCCAATTTGCACACAGCAATGGCCCGGAATTGAATGATCAATTTTATTTGGGGTAATTGATGGCCAGGACACTGGAAGCAACTCCCTTCTCTTTTCAAATAGTGCCATTGGGACGTCCTCCCGACATGAAAGGCACTGCACAAGTGTAAATTCGTTGTTGTTGCCATGAGATCTTTAACGTCCACATGACCAAGCAGACAGGGTCTAGGTTTAACGTCTCTGAAGACTGAAGAGCCCTAGCTTATCTAAGCATAGCCAGGGCCAATAGATAATTGTGGAAATATTTGCCAAAAATGGCAGGGAAATTTGACAATTTTTTGTGGAAAATTGCAGGGAGTTGATTGGTGCTATTGAGAGCTGCATTTTACTGCAAACCTAAATGTTTTCACTGTATTGATAAAAGCTAAACATGAAGAAATAACACAAAATAGATTGTTCCAAAAAAAATTAATGCTTTCTTGAAAAACTGTGTCGACCATTCGAGGGAAGGGAAACAGGCCTGAAGTGCTAAATGGTCAGTTTCCACCCCACACTACCTTTGAAGAGACATACACATATACACATCCAGAGAGACACACGCTCACAGACACAGAGAGTTACACAGGGAGAGAAACACTCACAGACACAGAGAGCGAGAGAGAGACACGCACACTCCCAGAGAGAGACAGAGGGGCTCAGAAACATAGAGAGAGACCCACACAGAGAGAGAGACACACACTCACAGACACACAGAAAGACAAACACAGATACACAGAGAGAGACATACTCACAAACAGAGAGAGACACACACACACACACTCACAAACAGGCATACATATAGAGGAGAGACGCACAGGCAATCTACACAGCAGGGCCTCGGGGCGAAGACCATTTCCCGCCCACGCCACTGACACCATCCCAACACTCCCAACGCAAGCACGTCTGGAGCCACTCCGTCCACAATTGCGGCACAGAGGCATTGAAAAAACAACCGGCAACAGCGCACAGAGGCCAAGGAGAGAATCAAACTTCAGGCTTTAGCGAAGGATGTTGTTCTTAGCTGAGGGGTCTGCTTTAGTGAACAATTGCAGGCATACTTTTCTGTTGACCCAGCTCAGAGCTCGTTCCTTTAACACTCGGGATCATTCTCATTACTTTCCTCTGCACAGGCGTTGGCAGCCCTCTTATGTTGTGATGACCAAAACTGTGTACAGTATTTTAGGTGTGGTCTGACCAGAGGGCTGTACAGCCTAATTGTGATGTCTGGGGATTTGAATTCCACTGATGAGCAAGAATGAATGAAACCATTTGCTTTTCTGAATGACTTCAAAATTCTGTTTTCTCAGATATGGATACCACGGTGGGAAAACAATGGGCAAATGAGTTTGCGCAGTCACCTTTGCAACAGGCACATCACTTCCTCACTGCAAACTCTCTCATTTGTCCTGCTTGCACTCATCTGCTCAAGTCAGCCACTGGATCCTCTTATGGCAAACTCTCCATTCACTGCCATGTGGAATGCACCCACTGAACTGTGTGAGACCAGATATGAAGTTACATTGGACTTGAGGCCCTTTGAAATCATCGGTAGTCCAATGAAGTCTGCGAGGGGCCAGAACCTTACAATTTTCTACCACGACCGGCTTGGGTATTATCCTTACTATGATGAGATTACTGGGCAATCCTTCAATGGTGGTCTCCCTCAGATGGCACCTCAATCACGCCACTACTCAAAAACTGTAGAAGATATTGAGTACTACATTCCTTCTGATGAAACTCCTGGAATCGCAGTCATTGACTGGGAGAACTGGAGGCCACAATGGGTAAGGAACTGGAGCCTCAAAACAATTTACAGAAGGAAATCCATTGAGTTGGTCAAGCAAAGAGACCCATCCTTAACTACGGATCACGTAAAGATTCGTGCTATAGCTGAATTTGAGGACCAGGCAAAAAGCTTCATGTTAAATACTTTGAGGTTAGGAAAGATACTAAGGCCCAATTGCTTATGGGGCTATTTCCTATATCCGGATTGCTATAACTACAAGGTTTTGACCAAGAACTATACTGGGAGGTGTTTTGCCATTGAGATATCGAGGAATGATGAGCTTTTCTGGCTGTGGAAAGAAAGCACGGCACTCTTTCCATCTATTTACTTGCACAGAATGCAATCTTCAGCTGTTGCAGCTAAGTTTGTGCGCCATCGTGTTCAAGAAGCCAAGCGAGCAGCAGCACTTTCTGGCCGTGAATACTCCTTGCCTGTGTACGTTTACACTCGTCCGGTCTTCACTACAAGACCTGACAAATATCTCTCTGAGGTGAGCCATAAATTCGGCTTTCAATTTAAGGGAATATATAATAAATAATAATCCTAGCATTTGATATAATACCTTCATGTCTCAAAGCGTTTCACTGTATAGTGCAGTGACTATGTATTTGCTATGCAAAGGTGGCAGCTGATTTGTTCACAGCAACGTTCCCCAAAAAGCCATGAAGTGAATTAGCATTTTACCTGGAGGATTGTTGGCTGGGACATCGAAAGAAACTCCCTTCTCTTTTCCAATAGGAATCCTTAACATCCATCTGGGCTGGCAAAAACGGGACTTTGGTTTAACGTGCAATCCAGAGGACAGCAACTCGACAGCGCAATGCTCCCTCAGCACTGCATCTGCCAAGATCTTGAATTTGATGTATGGAACATTTGTATAAAACACTTGCTGAATTGTTTCTTTCAGGTGGACCTTGTTCACACTATCGGGGAAAGTGCTGCACTGGGAACAGCAGGTTTTGCTGTCTGGGGAGATTTGGATTTGTCTAAAAGCTTGGTAAATACTACAAAGCTTCCACATTTTTGGTACAACAATATTAGTGGAACTTGTTTCCTGTCACCTCCATAATCCAGCACCTCCTCACCTCTCTGACCTCCTACCCCGCTCCGCTGTTCACTCCCTCTGATTGGCTAACTTGGGCTTGTTGCGCATCTTGCTCCAGAGGTTGGCTGACCCCTCTGTTTCGCTCCTCTTTATCGGTCTTCAAGTCTTGCCTTAAAACCTATCTCTTTGACCGTGCCTATGGTCACCCTCCATTACCCCCTCTCCCCGTCACTGTACAGCACTCCGAGATGTTATCTAATCGCTCTGGGATGCTAGCCTGTGTGAAGGGAATTATATAAATTCAAGTTTTTGTTGTTATTCTATGAGATAAATGTAACTTGTTCTTTCAGCTGCCGTTTTTCAGATGTATCACTTTCTCTCCCTTATCACACTGAGATTTCCATTACTTTGCAAGAAGTTGATCTTTTCATTGCTCATCCACACAATACTTTGAAGTAACTACCAGTTGCTGCATTGTCAGTTTACACAGACGCAACAATTTACATTTATATAGTGGGTTACACTTTAGCAGGACATCTCAACAACAACAAACTACATTTGTATAGAGCCTTTCACGTCGGGAAAACGTCCCAAGGTGTTGAAAGTGCTGCAAAGTACTCCATGGAACAAACTGGGAGATGAGCTGGTGGGAGCTGAGTGGATGGGGTGGGGATGGTCGTGGATGGTAGAGGAAATGACAAAAAAGCACACTTAAAAGATAAGTCTGAACGAGGGATTTGAAAGCACGGAGGAAGGGAGCAGGACAAAGGGATTCCAGGAAAGAGTTCCAAAAAGCAGGGGCAGAATAGCAGAATGCTTGCTCATGATGGCGGGGCAGATTGGGTGGGGGCATGAAGCAACATGGTGCTGCTGAGTGGAGGGAGTGGGAATGCGTTGATTAATGTCTTATATGTCAGAAAACCTTGCTTAATAACTAACTAATTAATAGGGTCTATTTTTGGTATACCTTAACAAGATTCCTTAAATCAAATAGCATAAATCAATAATAATAATCCTTGCATTTGATATTGTGCCTTATCAGGTCTTCGAGACGTCTCAAAGCGCTTCACAGAATATACTGTAAAGTGAATTGACTGTATATTTTGTGGGCGACATACAGCAGCCAATTGCGCACAAATAGATTGAATAACCAAATTTTTTTTAGAGGGCTTATTACCCCCAGAAAAGCGATCTGCCAATCGACTAACAACCGGGTTCTGACTTACTGCTAGATAAACAGAGGCGTGCAGAGTAAGAAAACTTGCCCAACATTTTGCCCTGCCCAGAAATCAAACACAATCTTCTCACTTGCGAAGCGAGTGCTCCCATCGCTTAGGTTATTTACATGACTCACAAGGAAATACCACAAATTAGTCCCAGTGACCCAAGGTCAGCTGACCTTCCAATTTTAATTAATTGAGAAGTTTAAATCCTTAGTTTGTTTTGGGTTCCAATTTCACGAGATTCAATCAAATTCTGTGATCTCAGTCAATCTCTACTAATAAAGACAAAATGTTTGTCTGTGTATCTGTATGAGTGAGAAAAGTGAATGATGTATACCAAGAGTGGTATGAGGTGCATCAAAACAGGAATCATTGCACTAAGGGTATGCTGAGGGTAAAATACTGAGATGTTTACTTGCAAAACACAGTCACTACACATTATAATATATCCTGACCTGAAAGGTGTTATACCAAATGTTAGGATTATTATTTATTTATTATTAATAGCACGCTACGTCCATTAATGAAATAGTTTGATAATGTGTGAGGAAGGCAGCAAAGTAGGTGATGTAAAAGTCACCTGAACTTCCTTCATCTGAACAATTTGGGTTATCACATAGAAATAAAAACTTAATGTCTTATTTTTGTTATTGTATTTGACAGCACTCCTGTGTGACTCTGGCTGACTATCTAACAAATCTCTTGAATCCTTATGTAATTAATGTGACATTGGCAGCGAAGTTGTGCAGTAGAATTGTGTGTCGCAACAAAGGCCGGTGCGTACGAAAGAACTGGGACTCTGGCTATTACCTACACTTGAACCCGGAAAACTTCAGAATAAGCAGCAAGAAGGAAGGCATCACAGTGAAGGGTCAAGCTTCGTTCGAAGATATACTCTTCATGTCAGAAAGGTTCACTTGCCAGTGCTATCCCGGCCAGACGTGTGAGCCCATACGTAATATAGAAAATCACATCATGGAGCACAACACTTGCATTAATTCGACTAACTGCAATAAGTTCTAATGACAATACAGAAGCTGCTATAAAGCACAATCATTTCGTCTGAGATCACAGGTCTCAAATTGTTCTCCCAAAAGTTGTGCAGATTGTTGTACAGAAGTATATTTTTTCCAACTGAGGGTGCTCCCATGTCCACTATGTATGCAGCAAATAAGCTTTGGAACACAGGAACAGAATTCAATCCCCTGAGGTGGTTCCATCAGTTTATTAGGTCTTGGCAGATCTTTCAATCTCTTCAGCTAAACACATTTCAGTCATCTTTCTGTTCCCAGCATTCCTCGGCTCCCACCCCCAGATCAGGTGCCCATACAGCATGTCAAGTGCTTTGAGACATCCTCTCAACACTACAAGGCACTAAATAAATGTAAATTGTATTTCTATCTCTACAACCAAAGTATCTGTCTAACTCTCTTATAAACATTGCTATTCATTCCGCCTCTGGAGCAGAATTTTCGTTTTTGGTTAGCCAGGTGTCTAACACGCATGGAAAACCATTATCACGCTTTAAAGTAATCAAACCAAACTGAGAATACGTATGCCATCAACAAATATAAATTTTCTTGTATCTGGAATGGAATATGTATTCTCTTCCCGGAGGGATGCACTTCGCTTATTTAAGAGTGTTTGGTCCAGGTTGGCAAGTGCCAAGGCTTGGGGACTCCAAAATGTGAGTTGAGGTACTGCAAGAGTTTAACCAGCTGAACAACAACAACAACAACAAATTACATTTGTATAGCGCCTTTCACATTAGGAGGACGTCCCAAGGCACTGGACAATCGTTGGGATCAGGAGTGGTGGAGGGTGGGAAAGGGTAGGGGTAGGAGGGTGACCAAAGGCAAGGTTAAAGAGGAGGGTCTTGAAGGAGGCAAGGAAGGGACAAAGATCTGCCAAAATCCCACAGTCCCTCTGTGGGATTTTGGCAGATCTTTAATCCCTTCTGAAGCTACATAGCTTGTCATTGAGTGCACTTTCTGGCAAGCCTCCTGTTGTTTTTTCAGCTCGGACCACTCCCTCTGTTACAGCTTTGGCTTGCAGAGTTAACAGGAGCTGAGTGGGAAGAATCCCAGCTCAAATGACTGATCTGCCCCCTCCAAGTCCTCCTAACAAGCTGGCTGGCTGTTTAATAGTGGTTTGGAGTACTGCAAACCCATCTGGCTCAGAAACCACCACACTAAGACCACCACAGAGGATTGACTAGATTCCAACATTCCATTAGCAAGCATTTCAACTTGAGCCACCTCAGCCTCCGCCTCCTTCACCCCACACAGGAGGACAGTCACTCGTTGGTCATTTGACATTGACAAGTACAAGTTTCAATGGATAGTTGGTTCCCAAAAGTGTTTTGAGATGTCCTCCTGACGTGAAAGGTGTATACCAAATGTAAGGATTATTATTATTATTGCAGTGCCTTACTCCTCCAAACAACAATTTTGGCCTCTCTTCATCAGGTATTGGAGAGTGTCCCAATTCAGCTGCTTATGAATCATTCACGAATGTCCTTGGAAGCATGATGCCTCTCTATGGATCATTGATATTTTCTGCTGCAGCCCTGAAAGAATGCTGAGTGCAATAAAATATTGCAGCAGGAGATATTCTTTAGCATATGTATCTGTAGAAATCGTTTACAAACTTCTCCCTCTCGCCAAGTTGGTAAAGACACTGCGGTGCAGACCATTGGCTCAAATATAAGTTAGCTGATTGCAGCTGAAATGCTACCATTGGCCTTGGTATCTCTGGGTTATGAAAGGAAAAAAATAAGCCAGGGATCCTGAACTTGATCTCTGTCCAGAGATCTTCAGCTGAAAGTATACGTGAATGTCAGGAGAGCAGAGTATTAGACTTGATTTTGATGCACCCTGTGGGCAATTGGGAAATCACTGTCAAAGATACACACGTAAAGAATGGGCAATTGGGCAACATACCAGATGTCAACCTGCACCAGTAGAAGGAAATGAGTGAAGTGAAAAGAATACTTAGCGAATTTTAAAACAAGCTTTATTTCTACACAAATTGTAAAGCTGCTATACTGCAATATCCTTTTTAACTGTGTTAATGAAATGGAACAGTTTAATACAAGCCCAGTTTAGCTCCAGCTCCAGTAATCTCAAGCTAGCACATTGTATGTTCGTCAACCTAGTTATATTTTGCTTGTGAACACAAATTCATCAACATGCAAATATCACAAGCAATGTTTGAACAACAATAACTTGCATTAATAAGCACCCTTGATTTATGGCAAGGTCTTGAAGGATATTATAAGACAGGATTGAATATCGAGCATGAGTTAGGGGAGCTTGGGAGACCTCAGGAGGACATCCAAAGGTGCTTTACAATCCTATCTTGAGCTGGTGCTCGGAACTGAGGGGTTGGGGAGTTGAAAGATGACTGAAACACAGAAAGATGACTGAAACAGGTATGAGCAGGAAGGACATATAACCCTTCACGTCACCCTCTCCCTTGCCTCCTTCCAAGTCTGTCTCAAGACCTTCCTCTTTGACCATGCCTTTGGTCATCTCTCACCTCCAAACCCCTTGCCCTCCACCCCCTCTTGATTCCAAAATTTCGGTGCAAACCCTTGATTGTCTATTACCTTGGGAGTTACTTCCGATGTGAAAGGTGCTATATAAATGCAATTCTTTGTTGTTGTTATAGGAACTGAAGGCAGTCATTGAGAGTGGCACAGAAACAGGGTCACCAGTAAGCCTGGGTTAGCTGAGTGGAGGGAGCGAATACAGGAGTTGGATAGCAGATCGGATACATAAAAGGGTGCCAGGGAGTGGATATATTTGTAGGTGATGGTGAGAACCTTAAAATTGATCCGCTGTGAGACAGGGAATGAGCAGAGGCTGACAAGAACTCGGCTGATTGGCGTTCAGAGTTTAGTCTGGGTGCCGAAATTTTTAATGTAAACAGGCCCCTCCAAAAATGATTCTTTCTTTTAGAGACATTGTTCCAAAATATAAGTTTTTTCAGATTTATTTATGACACGGTTATTGGTCCCTCAGCAGTGTTCTCATTCACCCAGTTTTACAATTTGGTATTTTTCCATGTTTAAAGCCAATATCCTTTGTTGGTCTTATTCCCAAATGTAAAATGTAATGCAGCACCAAAAAATGGCTTTGGGCATTACTTTTCAAGTTCTGCGTCTCCTATGAAAAACCCATTTCCCTGGCGGATTGTCTTTCTAAAAATTATCTTTCTAAAGATTTTAAACTGTTAATCTCTTGTCTCTTTGATGCAATGAGCATCAATTCTGTTGATTGTTTCCACTGCAGTGTATGAAATTTCCTTAAGTTAAAATCCCCCAAATAAAATTGTTCATCAACAACAACAGCATTACATTTGTGTAGCGCCTTTCATGTCAGGAGGATGTCCCAAGGCACTGAACAGTCAGTGTGTCGGACCCGAGCTGGAGGTCGGGATTTGGGAGGGAGGAGGGCAGGGGGGAAGGAGGGTGATCAAAAGCATGGTTGAAGGGTAGGGTCTTCAGATGGGTCTTGAAGGAGGCATGGGAGTGGACGAGATGGAGGGACTGCGGGATGGAGTTCCAGAGGATGGGGGCAGAGAGGCTGAAGGCCCTCCCACCAATGGTGGGGCGGGCGAGACGGGGGATGTGAAGCAGGCCGGAGCCCGCTGAGCGGAGGAAGCGGGCAGGTTGGTAGGGCGTTAGGAGGTTGCAGAGTTAGGGGGGAGCAAGGCCATGAAGGACTTTGAAGGTGAGGATCAGGATCTGAACTGTATCGTCTGTGTAATGGGAAGCCAGTGGAGTTGGGCGAGGATGGGGGTGATAGGGTCATGGAGCCTGGTGTGAAAGAGGGCACGGGCTGCAGAGTTCTGAATGATTCACAGCCTATCAATGGGCTATGAGGGTTTCAGCGGCCTGCAGTGTGAGGCAGTGGCGGAGCTGGGGAATTTTGCAGAGGTGGGGGAAGGAAGAGCGGGTCATGGCACAGATGGATTATTATTATTATCATTATGGCATGGATGTGGGGTAGAAAGGATAGTTGAGGGTCAAACAAGATGCCAAGGTTCCGGACTGGCTTAGTAATGTGCATCCATGGATGGTGATGCTGTCAGCACCTGAGGTGAAGAGGCGCTGACGGGAACCAATCAGGAGAGCCTTGGTTTTGTTGACGTTCAAATGTAGAAAGTTAGCCCTCATCCAGGACTTGATGTCTGACAGACATTCTGTCAGGACAGCAGGGGTGCTGGAGGCAGAGAGAAAAGAGTTGGGCATCATCTGCATTCATGCGGAAGTTGACCCCATGTCTGCGGATGATGCCAGCAAGAGAGAGCATATAGATATTGAAAAGAAGGGGACCAAGGACAGAGCCCTGAGGAACCCAGCACGAGATGGTGCGGTGGCTAGAGGAGCCGTTTGTGGAGATGAAGTGGAGACGGTGTGACGTTCAACTGAAGAAAGTTAGCTCTCATCCAGGACTTGATATCCGACAGACATTCTGTCAGGACAGCAGTGAGCCTGGAGTTGGGTGTCAATCACGAATTATGTCACCAAGAGGGAGTATATAGATATCGAAGAGGTCAGAGCCCTGAGGAACACCGCACGAGACGGTGCAGGGTCTAGAGGAGAAACCGTTTGTTGAGATGTTTGTGGGACATTGTTTCTCACTGTTTGTGGGACATTGCTGTGGGCAAATTAGCTGCTGGCTTCACCACATTTTACAGTAAATCTTCTGGAGCACTTTGAGACAACCTCTCGAAAGGTGTTGCAGTAAACTCTTGAAAATGCACTAAGAATTAGTCTTTTTACTGAATATGAACAGTTTGGAGGTGCTCTTCCGTGACTGAGTACTTTGGGAGCTTGGAGGAATGGCTGTGCTCAGCTTTCGCCTCCCAGCTCCCTTTCAAGAAGTGAGTTGTAGATTGATTCGGGGCCAGAGGGATGAGGTGGATCTGAGTTCCCTCTAGCCCTAGCCTATGAGCATACACAGTCATACACTGTACAGTTAGCCCCTTGAGAGGCTTGTTATTATTACTACGAGTGTCAGGCCGAGGAATGGCACATTACAGTAGCATTTGGACCTTAGTATGAAAGCTTTGCTTCATGACAATGTCATTGGTGAAATCTTTGTTTTAATGTGCTTGAACAACTTATGAGTGCTTTAACAACATTATGTTTGCTATCAACACAAAAATGATGGAAAACAACGCTTTGATTAAAATTTTTCAGCAGATGTGGTGTAAGAGCTGGTGTTAAAAATTTCAGTCACTGCAGTAGTGCACATGAATTGTCATAAACCATCTCATGTTGAGCAGAGCTCTGGTCTGCTTGACATGTTGCTAAGTAATTTTTGTCTGCATCTTGTAAATACCAAGCTGTCTGCTGCAGAATAAACACTCTGAAATGGAAATCAATACAGTATTTATATTTGAATATTAAATGCAGTAATAATCCTTGCATATTCAACTCTGGTTTAATTTGTAACAACCACTTAAGTCCTTGAAAACAAAAACAGAAGTCGCTGGGAACACTCAGCAGGTCAGGCAGCATCTATGGAGAAAGGAAAGTGAGTCAACGTTTCGGGTCCACGACCCTTCGTCGGAACTGGGGCATGTTGGGAGGGAGAGGCTTTTAAGGGCTAACAAAATCTAAGAAAAAAAGAAATCTAAGAAAAAAAGTCCTTGTGCTGTCAATATCCCAGCCGCATTTACTTATGTATTTATGTATATGCCTAACTCATCGCCCAGATAACTCATCATTGAGCAGTTTTCCCTTGAAGCCATGAGCATCCCAGGTAAATGTGTTAGGTAAACACACTAAGAATCATTGTGGCATTGGTAAATGTGCTAGGAGTCTATAGGGAGTCTACATGCGTGGGCCCCCGGAATTTGGCAATGCATTTGCAGTAACTACAGTTAAATTCACTTAGAATGGGCCGCTGAAAAGTGTGGCTGCACACCGACAGGGCTAAAAACGAGAAGCCACTGGTTGTGTTAAGAAAGGTGGTTGCTGAATAGAGGTGGTTGATTATGAAAATTCGATCAGGACTGTTCTAGGGAGATTGTTGAATAGAAGTGGTTGGTTGAATAGGTTTGAGTGTATTCCTTTACACAAAGGATCATAAGAATATTGAAATGTTTTGTCACCAAAGATGAAGGATAACTAGTGGTGAGGTCGCAGATGGAATGACAATGGAAGGTGGTGAGAGTCAATCTGACTGGGAGCATAAAGAAACTGGTCTTATATACTGTATATTCTTGCACTGCCTTCCAAAAATTATGTACTGGAGTAAAAAGAACATTCTATAAAATCAACTGGGGTGAAATTCCATCTGGTTCTAGATTTACTCTGTTTGCGTTGCATTTTAGAGTATCCAGCTTTTAGCATTTTAAAAAAAACATACAGCCTTAGTTTTGAAGAATGGTTATTTGAATTAGGTAGCAAAAAATTCTACTGGATCATATTGAGATGAGTGCATCCAGAGATCTGATTTGTGACGAAGAATATCAACAAAAGGTAGGGAAATGGAAATGAAAATGTTACCATAGATTTAAGGATAGATCAGGCTCAATGGCCAATTCTCACGAACAGCCAAGGTGAGGATTAAAAATATGGATTTATTCAATATAATCAATACGTCTACAATAAGGTGGTTACAATCTCAAACACAGAAGGGGAAAAGTGAACAGGCAGTTTTGCATTTAACTATTTATCCACATGGCAATAGATAGTGTCACCAGTTCCAAGAATTGGAAATTAGGTTCTTAGTTGGAGGTGGGGCTGAAAGATAGTGAGCAATGATATTTAGAAGATAAGTTTAGCCAGAAGGTCTGGTAGACTCCCATGTACAAACTATGGTTCTACGGTTTCTAAAAGGTAATGTTAGTTTTTAATATACTTATAATGAAAGCTCGGCTACAGGTCACTAACTGAGTTAGTAGTGCTGCACTGATTATAAACAACAAGTAAAATAATACCCCTCTTACATCCCTATAATGCAACTAAGAGCAAAGCCACTTTAAAGGAATATAAGTTAGTTTGAGAGTGGAAAGAAAAAAAATCACTGGAAGGGCTAGAAATTAAGGTTTTGAACAACCAATAGAAAAGCAACAAGAGTGAAAAGCAGAAGTGGCAGGGGTGGTGCTGAGCTGGCCTTCTCGCTCAGGCTGATGTCAGACTTGACTGCAGAAGGATCCTCAGGCAGTGGCACCTCACAGGCAATCCCAGTCCAGCCCTGGTAACACTGACACGCAAAACTTTGTTTCAAAGCTTTCATGTCCTCAGATTGAAGTTTCCCTTGCACATAGAACCTGGGATGCACTCCGTCAGCATTGGTTCTGATTTCAAAAGTGCTGGGGCTTAAATGAAGGAAGACCCTGGAGTCACTGATCTTCCTCACACACCTCCCGTGATTTTCACACAGGGTTTTGCTGCACAGCTTTGTGGCTGTTGTGACATTAACCACGTAGTGTCCCAGAGGGCCATCAATGTACTTCTTCACTTTTAAGCAGTGATTCTGTAAAGCAGAGAGGTTACTTTTATTTATTTATTGGAGTCCAGTAGCTTAGTGTTTAGAGCATTCGCCTCGCAGTGAGAGGACCTGGATTTGATTCCCAGGCAAGGCGAAACATTGGTCAAGTTTCCTTACTCCACATGCCTCTGTTTAACTAGTAGTAAGTTAAAAACACAGTTGTTAGTCAATTGGCAGATCACTTTTCCGGGGGCAATAATCCTTTCAAAAAAAAAAATAATAATAATAATAATTTGGTCACTCAATTCACGACTTATTTCGTACAGATACAGTAAAAGATTTTTCCTAATACTGCTAATGCGGTAACAAGGAGAAACAAAATCAGGATTGTCACCAGAAGAGTTAAGGAGCAAGTTCGAAGAAATTCAAGCAGGGTTAGATTTATAACATGATTTGCCATAAGTGGCAACTGAGGCTGCAACTTTTAAAGGGAATGGGATAAATGTTTGAAGAGAAACAATTAGGGAGAAAGATCAGGGAATTTGGATTGAAGGACAATAGTAAATTGTAAATTACAATCCACTTGTAAATTGGATCAGAGCTACGGAGAGTGCAGCATAGTTACAGGGATGATACCAGAGATAATGAAAGGACATAGCTATGAGAGGCTGGAGAGGTTGAGACTCATTCAGAACAGATAAGGTTCAGGTTTGACGTGATCAAATTACTTAAAATAACAAAAAGAGCTTGAAAGAATTAATCGCGAAATACTCTTTCAACTGGATGAGATTAGAGAATAAAAGGGAATGAATTCAAGTTTGCAAATCGATGAGTAAAATGAGAGATTGGGAAGCGTTTCTCCCAGAGGGTTATCAAGATATGGAATGATTTTACAGGAGTGACTGTTAAAGCAAAGTCGATTGGGGCATTCAGAAGCCAATCGGCAAGTACATGGTGAGGAGGTTATGGGAAAAGAACAGCAAAACGTAATTAGAATGGACAGGTCTTTGGAGGAGGAAACAGCAATACGAAAGAACACAACTTCCTGCTGGGTTGTACTTCTCACAACTTTGTACAACAACTTGAATTTATATGGAGCCCGTCACGTAACTTTTGGGAGCGCTTAACAGCTTGATGCTGAGCCTGGGAGAGGAGACCGCCAGCATGGTTAAAGAGGAAAATCTTCAGGTGCAATCTGAAGACTGGCAAGGAGTGGACAAAGCAAAGGGATTGAGGCAGGAAGATCTGAAGTTTCACTCGTGGCGCGTTGAAGATGAGGAACGTGCAGAAGGCCAAAGCCAGCCGAGAGAAGGGGCGGATAAGAGTGGGTGTAATAAGGTTCAAAGAGGTGGGATAGAGCAAAGGCATGAAGCGATTTGTAACAGAGTGTGAGGATTCTGAAACAATCCATTCTACAATAGGGAGCCAGGCAAGGACTGTTGTGAATCCAGCGCCTTGGGATGTCCTCCCGACATGAAAGGCACTATATACATGTAATTTTTTTGTTGTTGTTGAATTGGGTGTGCAGTTTGATTATAGGTGAGGATAAGGGCAGCGGAGTTTTGAATCAACTGGATATTATTAGTGGTCAAGCTGGGGAGACTATTGGAAAATTCAAAGCGGGAGGTGATCAAAGCACAGATAAGGGTTTCAGCTACATTGACTGTGAGGTATACAACAACAACAAAATTATACTTGTTATAGTGCCTTTCACATTAGGAGGACATCCCAAGGAGCTGGAGGAGGCGGGGAATATGGAAGAGGTGGAAGAAAGGAGTCCCAGTCAAGGACTGTGATGTGGGGCAAGAAGGACAACCGGGCATCGAACCTGATGTTCAGGTTTCACTAGTTCAGTGAGTCTTGAGGAGCAAGCTGAGGAGGTTAAGGAGGTTGGAGTCATAGATGAGAAGATGGTTCTACAGGGGAGCTAACAGCAGTCTCAGCTCAATTTACTAAATGGCTTTAACTTTTGCTCTGACGTTTATGATTCTAACACAAAACCCTACCACTGACATCAACCCAATATTCCAGTGAAATATTCAGAGATTTGTCATCCTGGCAAATCAAGTATAAGAATAAATAATAATTCTTGCATTTGATGTAGCATGTTGGCAAGATGTCTCAAATTGCTTCACAAAATGTTTCTGAGAAGCACAGAGGCTGTGTATTTGTCGGCCAACACAGAAGTCAATATCCCACAAACAGCCATGAAGTGAGTGACCAATTTTATTTGGAGGATTGTTGGCAGGTTACTGGGTTAATCCCTTCTCATTCCTGGTTGTGCGATCTGAATAGGCACAGATGGGACCTCAGTTTAACGTCTCATCTGAAGCACAGCATCTCCAATCATGGAAGCGACTCCATCACTGTCCTGATGTGTCAGCAAAGACTGGGTTCAAAGTCCTGATGTGGGGCCTGAACTCAGGATCCACAAATATAAACTGTTTGAAAATTGAAGGATTAAAATAACTCTACCTTTGATCTTGCGTAATCAATGTTTCCCCAAAGCACAATGCCTGCAGCTCCCATGGCAGCGCTCTCACCAATTGTATGGACCAAATCAATCTGGAGAGGAACAGAATACCATGTTACAGTAAGTCTCGGAAGGAACAATAATAGTCAACAATCATTTAGCGCTTTTAGATTCTTTCCTGAGGATGTTCCTGAGAGAGATGAACAGTGAATCAATTAGCTCCAATTAAATCTGATTTTAAATAGAGATTCATAACTTTTTGGTCAGCCGAGTATCTCACATGTGCCATGCTACAAGATTATCCAAATCAGCCTGTGATTCTACATATATATGCTACTTACATATGGAAATTTCCCTTTGTCTGGGATGGAATGTGCACTTTCTCCTCTGAGGGATACACCCTGTTAATCTAATTCTGGAGAGTTTTAGGCACAACAGGGCAAGAGCCTAGACTTGGGGACTCCTGAGCATACATTACGGTACTGCTTGAGGTTTTTCAGCGCCTTGGGACGCCCTCTCGACTGAAAGGCAATTTTTTGTTGTTTTACCAGGTAATAACACTTAGCTTGCTATTTAGAATGATCTGGTAAGCTTCCCGCTGCTTGTCCAGCTACAAGCACTACCTGATTTTGCTTGCAGGGTCAACAAAAATGGGAAGAATCCCTACTACCAGTGACCCGTCTGGTCTTCCAAATCACACTGTTGAACTAGGCTGGCTGGTCTATCATCAGCAAGCCTGGAGTAGTGCAGATCTGTTCGGCACAGAAACTGGACTGGAGACCTCCAGAGAGAGCAGATTTGACTTTCCAAAATTAAATAGCCAAGCACATTACATTGAAGCCAGTTCAGCTCCCATGAGACCTCACCTCTCCCCTCTCTCCCCCACCCCCACCACCCGAGCATGCTCAACAGAAATATATCAACAATCTCACCAATTCCTATTTCAATTATAAAATAAACATTTAATTAATTCCAAATACTAAAAGGATACTATACATTTAAAAATATATGCACATAGATTTAAAATGTGATAAATGTAATAATTAACCCAGTCTTGTTTTGCAAAATTGAATTTTTTATAGAGATACAGCATACAATTTTTTTTGCAAAGATTGTTATCCCTGGAAAGTGATCTGCCAATTGACTAACAACGCGTTCCTACTTACTGCTAGGTAAACAGAGGCATTTGGCATAAGGAAATTTTCCCTGGACTGGGATTGAACCCAGGTCATCTCACTTGCAAAGCCAGTGCCCTAACCATTACACTATAGTGTATAAATAGGCAACCAGGTCTCTCTTCTTCTCTCTCACTCTCTATAAACCGTATGAAGGTTCACTAGATAAACCATTTCAGAATTTTGCTCAAAACTTGAGAAAAGCTTAGCTTAATAAACCATTCACTGAAGTTCAGATTGGGGCTTCAAAGGACTTATTCAATTCTAGTATGAATTTTTTTTAATGGTTTAACAGATTTCCATATAAAAAAATTGTCACAGGCTCGCTGTAGTAATGCAAGGGGTATTCTCTATGCACACCAGAAATGTCTCAAGGCAAAACGTCGTATTCCACAAAACTATATAGCAAAGGCCCTAAATTCTACCTATTTTTATCCTTACAAGATAATTGTCGTAAAATTTAAGATTGCACAGAATTGTAGAACAATCTCATTTAGGAAACTAGTTTATTTTAAGGACTGCAGAAAAGGGTTAAATCTTACAATGTCAGATTGCAATTTTAAAACATAAAACATCTCCCAAGTTGAGAAAGTACTGATAAGTCTGTAATAAATATTTTTAAAAATTAACACAAATCAATATAGAAACTGTGAGTCTGTGCATTTTGCAGCCAAAGGAATTCCCGTCTTGATGTTAACAATGGGCTAAACCCACAAGTTTGAGTGCTACCATATGGTCTTTCGAACTCAAAAGGAATGGGAAACTGTCGAGCAGTGAAGGAAGACAAATCACAAGCCAATGCCATGCTGATTGATGGGCGAACTTTCAATCAGTCCAGGAAAACAATATGTTGACCCTCCTTACAAGAGAAAACAATTAGATGACAAGCTGGAAACAAGAAAAGGCTTTGTGTTAGAGTCTTTGAGTTAAGCAATCCCCAAAACGAAAAGTTAGCCCAAGGCTCCATTCATTCCCACTGCTTCTAGTCACTTTGAAGGTTTATCCAAACCTTCAAAATGTTATTCAAACCGTGGATAATCACACACACAAAAACTAGGCTCCTTGTCAACTTTTTCTTAAGATCACAATAAATTGTTTTTAGCAATTGTAAAGTATTTAACAGCTAGTAATAATACAATAATAATCCTTGCATTTGATTATCCTTTATCATGTCATCCAGCCATGTCAAAGCACTTCACAGGATTTACTGTAAAGAGTACTGATTATTTACTTGGACAGCTTTAAGGAACAATGTACACCAACCAGCTTTACCAACTTAACAATAAAACAAAGTTTCCTGAAAAAATGTATTATAAAAGATTTTCCCTGTGTTTAACCTTTTTCAGATTGCTTTATTTGATGAAAGTTTTGGTAACTGATTGGCATCTGAGCGAACTTCCAGGGACACATCCCAGTGTATGTTATGTGCAGATATCAATCAAAAAGGCATGGTGCATTAAATTAGTGCCTTGGGACTTCCTCTCGACGTGAAAGGCGCTATACAAATTTAATCTTGTTGTTATTGTTAATTGATAACTGTTAAGATCCTGCTTCCCAGTGTTCTACACCTAGCGTTCTGTAAATATTTGACACCTTTTACCATGTTGGGCTTTGGTCGAGTGTGTCCTAGAAGCCACAGATATGGTATTAATCACTTGCCAATTTCATTTGTGGGAAGTTAATGTTCTAATGTTTTTAATGATGCAAAAGACTTTGTAAATAGTGAATCTTCCAGATACCTGCCTGGCTTTGTTTCAGCCTGACACTCTGGTTTAACAGAAGTCAGAAATGAGATTGGCATCTGAGCGAACTTCCAGGGACACATCCCAGTGTATGTTATGTGCAGGAGATCTCGTTATAAACTCTTGCAAATTTCACAAATTAGAGCCAATTGTTTCCACTGAATTAAATGACACCAAATGAATGTTTCATCTAATAACCGGACTCTTAATGTCATTCATTGTGAGAATGACATGTTGGCCCAGCACTTGGATGGGACGACCTCCCGACATGAAAGGCGCTATACAAATGTAATTTTGTTGTTGTTGTCGGAAACCGTCCCTTCTTGACTAACTTTTTGGTGAATTTGGGGACAAAGAACAGAAGAAATCATGTAGTGCAGAAGAACAAAACCATGCAGCTCACTAATCCTGCTAAAGCTCATGTACAGAAAATAATTTGGGGAAGATTGATATGGCAGAAAGCAGTTGTTTTGGTTATTGAATAGGTAACCTAGTTAACCTTGTTTCTTACCTTTGTGAGAACCTCAAACCGATAAGCATAAAATGGTCGTGCGTACACAAAGACAGGAAGATCGTAATCACTTCTGGCCATCGAGGCGATTCTCATTGCTTCTTTGACTCGGTAATGGACAAATTTCAATGCTTTTGGACTGGATTTGAGTTGACGTTCCAAGTAGATGGAGGGAAAGAGAGCAGTGCTTTCCCTCCACAGCCAGAGTAATTTGTCATTACGCTTATGCTCGATTTGAGGGCATTTTCCATTGTACTTATTTGGATGAGTCTTGTAGTTATGGTTGTAGCAGTCTGGGAAGAGATAGAATCCCCACAGTCCTTTGGGTCTAGTTTTTTCTGCTAAGTTCAACGTTGCATTCAAAAAATTCCGACCAGCATTTTCAAATTTCTTCTTGGCTTCTGATTTGATTTTCTTTTCTGTCCAATTGGGGTGAAGTGTCCTTTCGATTCCTATTGACTTTTTCCGATAGATATTTTTGTGGCCCCAGTTTCGAATCCACTGAGGTCTCCAATTCTCCCAATCAATGACCCCAAGGCCTCCGAAGTCTTTTCTCGGAATGGATTTCTCAATGTCGGATTTGGCTTTGTTCAAGTGGTCTTGAAGGCTTTTGTTCTGCGGGATGCCGCCATTAACTGGAGTTTTACTATCAGTGAAATATGGGTAATAGCCCAGCTGATTGTGATAGAATATGGTGATGTTTGAACCACTGAGGGTTTCATTTGAGTTGGAAGCTATATCGAAAATGCTGAGGTCCAGGTCCACCTTGTATCGAAGCCTGCATTGCTCTGTTGGGGCATTCCATACCACAATAAAGGGTTTGTATGGCAACACTGGCACTTTTGCTTGCTTAAATTCCTGGCCACAGGCTATCTGCAACACAATTAAAAGTGCAGTTGCTGATGACAGTTGCTTTGTGAACATCTTCCTTGGGATGCAAGTACTGCTCATTGTGCAGTTTCCATTTGCTGTGAACTCTGCAAGCAAAAGTAAACACAAGAGCTCCTTTATTCTGTTAAAAAAAGCTGAGAAGTAAGCAAATAAGCACTTCACAAACAATTACAACAACAACAAAATGAAATTTGTACAGTGCCTTTCATGCTGGAGGATGTCCCAAGGTCCTGGACAGTGTTTCGGACCCAAGCTGGGGGTCGGGATTGGGGTGGGTGGAGGGCAGGGTGGGAAGCAGGGTGATTGAAAGCATGGTCAAAGAGGAGGGTTTGAGATGGGTTTTGAAAGAGGCGAGGAGGGGGCAAGGCGGAGGGACTACGGGATGGAGTTCCAGAGGGTAGAGGCAGAGTGGCAGAAGGTCCACCCACCAATGGGGGCACGGGCAAGGCATGTGAAGCAGGCCAGAGACCACTGAGCGGAGGGAGCGAGCAGAATGGTAGGGCTTTAGAAGATTGCAGAGGTAGGAGGAGCAGGGTCATGGAGGCCTTTGAAGGTGAGGACCAGGATCTTGAACTGTATCCTTTGTGTAATGGGAAGCCAGTAGAATCAGGCGATGATGGGGGTGATAGGGTCACAGAGCCTGGTATGGGAGAGGACACGGGCTGCAGAGTTCTGGATAATCTGCAACTTATGGAGGAAGGAGTTGAGGAGGCCGACAAGCAGGAGTTTTCATAGTCAAGCCGCGATGTTATGAACGCGTGAATGAGGGTTTTGGCGACCTGCGTTGTGAGACAGTGGCGGAGCCGGTCGATGTTGCAGAAGTGGGGGAAGGCAGAGCAGGTCATGGCATGATGTGAGGTAGAAAGAATAGTTGAGGGTCAAACAAGACGCCAAGGTTCCGGACTGGCTTAGTAAAGTGGAGTGTGCAACCATGGATGGTGATGCTGTCAGTGCCTGAGGTGTGAGAGGCTGACAGGAACCAATCAGGAGAGCCTCGGACTTGTTGACATTCAACTGAAGAAAGTTAGCTCTCATCCAGGAATTGATGTCTGACAGACATTCTGTTAGGACAGCAGTGGTCCTGAATTACACTAGATTTAGATATACAACAACAAAAAATTACATTTGTATTACACCTTTTACGTCAGGAGGACGTCCCAAGGCACTGGACAGTCAGGAATCCGCACCTGAGCTGGTGGTTGGGATCAGGAGGGGTGGAGGGTGGGGGAGGGTAGGGGTAGGAGATGATTGAAGGCATGGTCTATGAGACAATATACAAGACAAAAATGATCCTTTTATCCCAAATCATCTTCAACTCAGGCTATCATTTCAATTCAGCTGATAATTTTCACCTAAGCCACTAGATGGAGCATTGAAGCAAAGTCTCTCCATGGACATCGAAAATAAAATCTCTTCTCATTAGTTAAGGTTAACCCAAAATTGTTTGTCCCAGACTGCACCCTCTGCTTGGCTGCAGAGTTGAAAGGCAGACAAGCAGTAGGGAGAACTTTTGGGTTATCAAATTCCTCATGGTGTGTTGGAGGCAGTATCCCTATTTTAATTTGCTGCTAATCTAAATGTTGGGGTGGGATTAAAATGGAATCTAGCATTCTATACCCATATGAAAAAACCTGAGTCAGAAGGATGTGGATTCAAGCCCCATCTCAGGATTTAGAATCACATGTTCAAAGATGACACTCCATGCAATGCAATGCAGGACGGTGCTGCATTGTCGGTGATGTCTTCCTTCAGATGAGACATTAAACCGAGGCCTGTTCAGATGGATGTTAAAGATTCCATGGCACTATTCGAAAAGAGAAAGGGAGTTTCTCCTGGCCAACAAATCCCTTCAAGTAATAAAATTGGTCTTTCACTCCATGGTTGTTTGTGGGATATTGCTGTATGCAAATTGGCTGCTGCGTTCGCCCATAAAATACAGTCAATCCACTTTACAGTATATCCTGTGAAGTGCTTTGAGATATCACAACAACGTGATGAGACCTTATATCAAATGCAAGGATTATTATCATTATTATCACGACATCAAGACAACTCAAAACACAATCCTGGCTCAGGTAGCTCACTTGCCTCTGACTCAGAAGTTTGTGAGAACAAGACCAACGGGTCTTTAAACACAGTCCAGGCTGACACGCCAAAGTAGATGTTTCGGTACATTCATTCATTTTTTGTCATTTATGGGACGTTACTCAATTTTGGCAAGACAGAGGCCCTCCTGCTTGGCTCCCAGCAGCCCCTCTCACATCAGCCGCTGACATTATAATCATTCATGGCTGCACCTCACCAAGCCAATCTGAAACCTAAGTGTCCTTTTCGACCTTCGGCTATCCTTCAAAACCCACATTCGTGTGATGACCCATTCCGCCTTTCCACACCTCTGCAACATTGCCCGCCTCTGTCACCCTTTCATTATGTCTCAGCTTGACTACACCAATTTCCTAACCCTCCACAAGCTGCAGATTAATCAGAATTCGGCAGCTCGTGTCCTCTCCCACACCAGACTCCAGTAACCTATCACCCCCGCTTTTGCCCAACTTCATTGGCTCCTCATTCCTCAGAGAATCGAGTACAAACCCTTGCTATTACCTTCCAGCCCTCCACGGTCTTGCTCTCCGACCTCATAACCCCAGATCAGCCTGTTCGCTCCCTTCACTCGGCGGACACTGGCCTGCTTCAGGTCCTCTTCACTTCCCGCACCACTATTGGCAGTCAAGTATTCAGTATCTCTGCCCCCACACTCTGGAATTTTACCCTGCAATCCCTCCACTTCACTCCCTCTCTTGCCTCCTTCAAGTCCTTCGGTCACCCTCCCACCCTCACCCCACTTCCCACTTCCCTCCTCCCATTTTGACCCCAACTCCGAGCTCAGGTCGAAAACCCCTGATTATCCAGCTCCCTGGGATGTCTTTCCAATATGAAGGGCGCTATACAAGGGTAATTTGTTGTTGTTGCTCTGTGCAAATTGGCTGCCACGTTTGCCTACAAAGACACATGTTACACAGGAAATACTGGGAAGAGCTATGAGACATCTCAATGTTAAAGGCTATATCAAATGCAAGGATTATTGTTATAATAATTTCTGTCAAGTATGTGAAACGTGCGAATTTTTGTTGGCATCAGTGGAAACAACCACGAGTTGACTAACAAACTATTAAGGTTACTGTTGGCCAAAATATCGGCAGAGACTCCCCTCTAATACTACCATGAGATTTTTGATATTTAGCTGAAAAGAAGCAATTCCTCAATGTCGCTGAATCTGATCTCAACTTTGTTTGGACTTGAGTCTCACAAAATAAGAAAAAAATGCCCCATTATAGCACTTTCTGTGCTTTTGAGAAAATGTGTAAGTCATGAATAGATGGCAAATGGATGTAAATGGCAAATTGTAAGCATTTCCCTACAAAATACAAGAAGCTACATTTTACAGTAAAATCCTGTGCAGTTCTTTGAGATATTCTCCTGACGTGAAAGGCGTTGTATCACGTGCAAGAATTAATTATTGTTATCGATAATAAATCCCAACGGTACTCAGATATATCTCAGGTCGATCTTCTGAAACTCCACCAACTTCTTGGCTGTTTGTGGGACAGTGTGGTACTTAAATTGGCTGGAGTATTCCTCTACAAATACACTACACTTTACAGAAAATCTTGTGAAACAGAGACATTTTGATGACGTGATAAGGTTCCATACCAAATGCAACAATAAGTAATGATATAATAAATCATTTTGATCTACAAATTTAAAAAAATGCTTTATGGCGTCCTTACAAACGATTGTCGCTCATTTTGATTGTAATTTTACTTTCCACTCTGAATAGTCCTCTCTGGTCTATAACTGGTCTATATAGAAATGGTTAGGTGGGAAATGCTCATACTTGGCTCTGCAGGAGACCACTGACTACTAGTGCTGAATATAATGATGATATAACAATAATCCCTGCATTTGAAGATATACATTACTCTTCTCAGCAGAGACCAGTGCCTTCTGCTGTTCATGTTAAATATTAATTGCTGCAAAATTATATATGTTGCCTTTCCATTTTCTTACTGTTCTGTAAAGACAATGGAACCTTTTATTTGTCAATACTTAAGGGACAACTCGTTGAGGACTGTATCCCACATTTCTTGGGAATAGAGTTATTTTGTGTGGTATTATTTGAGAGAATGGTTTCTTCTGTGACTCTTTCCACATGATCTTTAGCATCTTTCAAACCAAGTGAGTGAAATGGAACATTTGCATCTGAAATAACATTTCATACTGCAAATAAATGGATTAACCTTGTATCGGATCCAAAAGCAATATAGTTTTTAATTGCATTTGTTTGTCCATAAAAAAATCCTTCTTGGAACTTTTCAACCACCTAGGGTGAAATCAAATGTCCAAGGTTCATCCAAACCTCTCTGATGATCTTGTAATGCATCTCCCTCCAGGATCTTGTCTTTCCAATCTCCTGCAGTCTTCCACTTTTCTGGTCTTCTGTTTGTTCCTTACTCCTTCCATCCCACTAATATTAGCCAAACCTTCAGCCAACTCTGCCCGTTGTCTTCATCTTGCACTCTCTTTTCCCCATGTTACCTTCAAATTCTCTGAAGCACAAATCTTTTAGACTGTGCCTTTGGTCAATTCACTTTACAGTCTATTCTGTGAAGCACTTTGAGATGTTGAAAAGATGTGAAAAGCGCTATATCAAATGCAAGGATTATTATTATTATTTGGTCAACATCTTCATAGAGAGAGGCAGTGTGTCTGTGTGTATGAAAGGCAGAGTGTGTGAGAGTGCACATGCGTAAGTGTGTGTGTGAGAGAGAAAGATGTGAGAGTGCATGAGTGACATTGTGCATATAATAAACATTGTGCATTGGAGACATTGTTACTGTGTATGTGGTATAATGACACCATGCATCCTGTCTAAGTGCAATCCTTCTTTAGTTTTATTCCAACCTCAACCTAAACAATATTGGTGAAAGTTAGGGAAAAAAAGACCAGGTGCAAAATGTTAGCAAGACTAATCTTGTTCTCGTCCAACATCAACACAAACATGCTTCCAGCAGATCATTTCTGGAAA